ATTTGTTCTAAATGTTGATGACTTCGTGGGAAGGTTTGATGTATAATGGTGAAATTACCGTTCTCTACAAGTTATTTTCACACCACAAACATGTGCACTATAGGAGGATGCTTGGTTGAGGACGGTTAACTAATTGGTTAAGGTTTTTAATGCAATATAAATTAGTTCTGCAAATATCAATGGCTTTATTGAGGCTTATCATTTATTTTGAACTTAGTTTAGAGAATCTAAAGTTTGAATGATTTTAATAATCCAGTCTCCATTCTGTGATACTCCCCGTTATTTTTTAACAGTCAGCACAATCCTTATGCAGGAGAGATGGTTGTTGGGCCGAGAAAAACTCTTTTTATGGATGAAATATCAACTGGACTTGATAGCTCTACAACATTCCAAATTGTAAAATGTGTGCGAAATTTTGTTCATCTAATGGAAGGAACTGTACTTATGGCTCTTCTACAACCTGCACCTGAGACATTTGAGCTATTTGATGACCTAGTTCTATTATCAGAAGGATATATGGTGTATCAGGGCCATCGAGCAGAAGTTTTGGAATTCTTTGAGTCATTAGGATTCAAATTGCCACCGCGTAAGGGTGTTGCAGATTTTCTTCAAGAGGTATTTACTTTCCTTGCTGCTGCTTCTATGTTTAGATCTTCTTTAACTATTTGCCTAACAAGTTACACTTGCTAGGTGACCTCTAAAAAGGATCAAGCTCAATACTGGGCTGATCCTTCAAAGCCATATGTGTTCATTCCTGTTTCAGAAATGGCCAATGCATTTAAAAATTCCAGATTCGGAAGGTCTCTAGAGTCAACACTTAGTGTTCCATATGATAAATCCCGAAGTCATCCTTCAGCTTTGTCCAAAACAAGATTTGCTGCATCAAAATGGGAACTTTTGAGAACGTGCTTTGCACGAGAAAAACTACTAATCAGCAGGCATAGTTTTCTTTACATTTTCAGGACATGCCAGGTAAGCTTCGCTTGCCACTTCTGCAATTGTTATATATGATTACCTCTGAATTTTACTTCACGATGTGTATACCAATATTCTTAACCAGCTATGATTTGATAATATATGGACTGTTAGTGTGTTACTTGCACTTTGTTCTTTTTGATTTTGGAAAAATGGACATTTTATTTATCCAAGATGCAGGGCAAATAGGCTGCTACAAAAAATACTTCTGCTTTGTTAGTTTAGAATTGACTGAGTATTTTGTAGGAGGTCTTTTACCTTGCCTCTTTTTTCCGTTTATTGACTACTATTACATAAGAACTTATTACTATGATTTTTTTATTATTTTTTTTCACGTCTTTCTAATTGTATTTCACTTTTGAAATCTATGTATTACACATCTTTAAGGTTGCATTTGTTGGATTTGTCACAAGCACAATTTTTCTGCGAACAAGAGTACATCCAGTTGATGAGACTAATGGCAACCTCTACCTCTCTTGCCTTTTCTTTGGGGTAGTGCATATGATGTTCAATGGATTTTCCGAGCTACCCCTTCTGATATTTCGACTCCCAGTCTTTTACAAGCAGCGAGATAATCTATTTCATCCTGCATGGGTATGGTCTGTGGTCAGTTGGATTCTACGTGTACCCTACTCCGTTGTTGAGTCGGTTGTATGGTCTTCTGTTGTATACTACAGTGTTGGTTTTGCCCCTGCTGCTGGGAGGTATCTTCTATTTCACTCACTCTGATGGATGATGTTTTTCTCTCTTAGTTATTTCTTCCAATTAATTCTTGTTTTTAAATGCAGGTTTTTCCGCTTCATGTTCCTAAATTTTGCAGTGCACCAAATGGCAATTGGTCTATTCCGAATGTTGGCTGGAATCGCACGAGATACAGTCGTTGCAAACACATTTGGATCGGCTGCACTTTTAGTTATATTTTTGTTGGGTGGATTTCTTATACCAAAAGGTATGATGTGGTAAGTTTTACTTCGGAATGGAAGATAAGATAGTGTTGGTTGATTGGTTGATTATTCATTTTTCAGACAAGGTTAAACCATGGTGGGTTTGGGCTTCTTGGTTGTCACCACTACAGTACGGACAAAGAGCAATTTCTGTTAATGAATTCACTGCCACAAGGTGGAATAAGGTGCATTAATAAACACTTCCATCAATTTTCTGTAAATTGATATCGGTTTATATGCCTAGGCGTGTAATTTTTAAGCCTATCTTGCAGATATCTGCTATTGGGAACAATACTGTCGGATACAACATTCTTTATTCACATGGTCTACCTTCTGATGGATATTGGTATTGGCTTGGAGTTGGTGTGTTATTACTTTATGCTGTGCTTTTCAACATCATTCTAACGCTGGCCCTAGCGTACCTTAATCGTGAGTTTTCCTTTTTCTTATCAAATGCATATACAGCTTTCTTTCTCCACACTTTATGTAACTAAATACTCATAGAAGTCTTTCTGTTATATTTGTTCACGGTAGCTCTCAGAAAAGCCAAGGCAATTATTCCACTTGATGACTCAGAAGAAAATTCTGTTAGGAATGATGGTTAGTCATCTATGATAACATCATTTTACTTTGCAATGTGTGGGGCATCCGTGGCTCTTTTAAAGAAATCTGATCATTCCTTCACAAAATTATGGCTGATCTATGCAGTTGAAAGTGAGCACTTGGAATCAGGTGTTCCGTCTGATAACCGCGGCAGTAAAACGAAGGGAATGATTCTGCCATTTCAACCATTAACAATGACTTTTCATAATATCAATTACTTTGTCGATATGCCCAAGGTTTGTTTGTCTCGTGGTTTTTGGTTCTTGGAGTTTTGGATACCTCTAACTAATGTGAAACCTTCTTTTTCCATTTTCCTATTTCTTCTGGTTGAATATCTCAGGAAATGAGCGCACAAGGCATACCTGAAAGGCGATTGCAGCTCTTGTCAAATGTTAGTGGAGTATTCTCACCGGGTGTTCTTACAGCATTAGTCGGGTCAAGTGGAGCAGGAAAGACTACCTTGATGGATGTGCTTGCTGGAAGGAAAACTAGCGGATACATCGAAGGGGATATTAAGATATCAGGTTACCCAAAGGAACAGAAGACATTTGCCAGAGTTTCTGGATATGTTGAGCAAAATGATATACATTCTCCTCAAGTGACAGTTGAGGAGTCTCTCTGGTTTTCCTCCAGTCTTCGCCTTCCGAAAGAAATTAGCAAAGTCCAGAGACATGTGAGCTGATAACACTTTGTACATTTATATTTGTTTTAATCTAGTTACTTTCACTGCATTTTTTATATAATTTTTCTGCATTTCCTTACAGGAGTTTGTTGAAGAAGTGATGCGTTTGGTAGAGCTTGATACACTTAGGAACGCTTTAGTTGGTTTACCAGGTAGCAGTGGCTTATCAACAGAGCAGAGGAAACGTTTAACTATTGCAGTGGAGCTTGTTGCAAATCCTTCCATTATTTTCATGGATGAACCTACATCTGGACTTGATGCACGGGCAGCAGCAATTGTGATGAGAACTGTTCGTAATACTGTTGATACTGGAAGAACTGTGGTGTGCACTATTCACCAACCCAGTATTGAAATTTTTGAATCATTTGATGAGGTGAGACTGATTATAGTTTTTATATTTCAAAGTTAATACAAGAGTTCTGCATAATACATGTTTGTGTCTTTTCATATGAATTTGCCCATAAATTTTCTTATGCAGCTGCTGCTTATGAAACGAGGAGGTCAGGTTATATATGGAGGAAAGCTTGGAGCTAACTCACAGATTTTGATAAACTATTTCCAGGTGACCTTGCATTGTCATTGTTATTATTATTTTTAGGTTCTTGAATTCGTATACTTCATCATTGTATCAAGGAGAAAAAGGTAACAGACCAAGATGATACCCTCTTTTATATTTGCTCATGAACAGAGCTTTTGTTCCTTCATTTTCTTGTCGTTCTTATGTCTAAGCTACAAAAGTGCAAGTAGCCTTCCTCTGTCTTTTGACCCTTAACACATTTTGAAGGCAAAGATGGTCCTGGCCTGCGTTATTTACTACTAGAAGCATGGTGTTGATAAATTTTGACACATCAGTTACAGAAAAATTAAGAAGTTCAAGAAATAAACTTGGAAAAGTTACAAATTTTTCATTGAAGGTTGCAAGTCTTGAGTGATATGTTACAGATATTTCACGAGTTATTAGCATCATGCTCAAAAAGGTTACTCTCAGATACATGTGAGATCTTTATTTGGCATTTTATGGTTCCAGACTATCTGGAACACTTGAGAGTAATTAGTATACAACATTAACACCAATGACAAGCTATATCCTTTAAATCCGAAGTTTTCTTTTCTAATTTCTGAAAGTTCCATTTGAATGTAATCCATCCTTGGAGCACATATTATTTTTTCTTATACCTTGAGACTTTTATGTAGTTATCTACCGAGATTTCAGCATATTCACAATTTAAAATACTAATGATGAGAATGGCAATTCTTTAGGAGAGGTTTCACATTTGTTCTCTTTATGCAGGGAATTAGTGGAATTCCATCAATTCCATATGGATACAACCCGGCAACGTGGATGCTTGAGGTTACTAGCCCTGCAGTAGAGCAGAGAATTGGTAGAGACTTCGCAGATGTATACAGAAATTCTGAGCAGTACAGGTAATCATTGTGATGTCATGTTACTAATCCAAGCAAGATGAGACAAGTACTCAATCTATACTTTGTTCTTTGGTGTGGTTAAATCAACCTGCCTTGGGTTCTTAAATTACTTTGCTTTGGCATTCATAAATGAATATTTTTAATTCTGTTATAGGGAAGTGGAAGATTCCATTATGCGTCTGAGTGTTCCACCTCCTGGTTCACAACCTTTAAAGTTTTCTTCCACATACTCGCAAAATCAACTGTCTCAGTTTCTGATTTGCCTGAGGAAGCAAAACCTTGTGTATTGGAGAAGTCCACAATACAACTTGGTGAGATTGGTCTTTACAATGGTGTTTGCACTAATATTAGGCTCCGTGTTCTGGGATGTTGGTTCCCAAAGGTAAGTAATCTTAGTTATTTCATGTTTCTGTGCTAAAACTTCAAATACTTAGAAAATGGCTTGAACAAAATCATTGTTTGTATTTGGACCTTCATTGTTGATTTTGATAAATTATTGTTTCGTTATTTTGGGCTCTGTTTATGATGAATATTTCTTTTTCCCCTTTTGAATTTCATAATATTCAAGAGTAGGCTATTAATGTAAACTCATTTCCAGTTAATTTTATTTTAAACACTACCTTATTTTTTAATTCTATAAACATTGTCCTTGAAAAGAAGATTTTTTTGTATATTTATGGTGTCACTTTTTTCTGCCATTGTTACAAACCTACTAAACCATTCGGTATATAAATTGTTTCTGCAGAGATACAACTCAAGGTTTGTTTATGGTTATGGGTGCCCTTTATGCCTCATGCTTGTTTCTTGGGGTCAGTAATGCTTCCTCAGTACAACCAATTGTGTCCATTGAGAGAACAGTATTCTATAGAGAGAAAGCAGCAGGAATGTATGCTCCCACTGCTTATGCAGCAGCCCAGGTAATTGGCATGGTCCTGAAAGAAATTTATTTTCAGTACTGTTTATTTTGACTGAATTGGTAAAATCTTTCAATTCTTTCATGAACAGGGTCTTGTGGAGCTCCCATACATTGCTGTTCAGACAATTTTATATGGGGTCATCACATATTTCATGATTAACTTTGAAAGAACAGCTGGTAAGATTCTGTATCTTTCTTTACCAATGCCTTTTTGTACCAAGAGTGATGGTTGCCCTGATGTTATTATAAAGTACAAAAAAGAGCATCAGGAATTAAACTTAAAGATTTTGACCCAAACCGTCCCCCAGCCTTACTGCTCAAATTTAGACCAATTGTCTTTGATTCTTTTTTCAATATATCTTTCCGTGCTAATTAAGTTAGTAATTGATTAGATAGCTTTGATCCATTAATAGGAAGATCATATATGCCGTTTTTGGTGGGGGAGGGGTCCAAAACTGCTTGGAGTTTATTCACTGAGCGAACAATAAAATTTTCTTAGAAATTGATTCCTGAATTTTCAAAAAGTATTTGGTTTGAGCATTCCCAGCCTTGTTCACTAAACAAACAGGGCTTTATATTCAACAAACAGAAAACTTATGTATGAAACAAGTCACAGATATAACAGCCTCTTCAGATGAATGAACTGGATAAATGAAAAATGTTTACTAATAGTTTCTTTGTATGTCCCGTCTGGCTATTGAGCAATGAATGACAATAGACAGTCAGTCTTCTTTGCTTGGTAAGCACAGTCAATTATGCCAGACTCTTCTGTGGATTGGATATTGAAGATTGGTGAATTTTATAAAGGGTTTGATGTTTTGGTTTTGAAGGTTATTTTATTACTATATTAATCGGTTTGGATTTACCTATCCTCAACTGATCAACTCCAAGGGGAGCCAACCTGTTGGAGAATGATAAGCTAGCCGGTCTTTCATTGACATGTTGTCTTTATGTTCTTTATTATTCAATATTAAACAGGAAAAAGTGATTTGTCGTTTTTTTTTCTTTGATGTGGAACAAAAGTGTTCCATGAATCCATTTCTGATTATAATAATTAGTAATTACTAGAAGACAAAAGCAATGAAATGCGTACTTTTGAAACCAAAGGAATGTTTACTTATAAGAATCTCTCTTTTTTGCAGGAAAAATTTTCCTCTATCTTCTCTTCATGTTCCTTACCTTCACCTACTTTACCTTTTATGGTTTGATGGTTGTTGGTCTCACACCTTCTCAGCATATGGCTGCTGTCGTCTCTTCTGCGTTTTACTCTTTATGGAATCTCCTCTCAGGTTTTCTTATCCCAAAGCCGGTAAGTAGTACACTGCCCTCTGCATATTCTACAGCTGATCTCTTTCAATGGAGTTAATAATATTTCTCTAGACCTTTTCCATCTTCTTTAATTGGTTAAGAAGCATTGTTAGACTGGTAATTTGCTACAAGCCTTTGAAGGGCAACTTGATAAAATTTGCAAGTAGGCAATATGTTCCATAATAAGGAAATTGGGGCATTTGTTGTTATAAAATATGTGGTAGTACTCTACAAATAAATATCTGGGATATGTTTTTTATTGTAACCATGGCTTTTGGCCAGTAGTTTAAAAGACTTTCTGCCAAGTTATTTTCTTTTTTCAATTCGTTGTGAACAGCAACGTTAGTAAGTGTGCTTTTGACTAAAGAGCGTCCAGCATGCCTCAAGTACATTCATGTTGATTTTACTTATCCAATTCGGTTTCTAATTTCTTCCATATTATGTCAAATCATCACATCAGAAGCACATTGACTACATGTAAGGGGTGTGATTTTTCCAAATTGCAATTTAAAAGAAGTCATATGAAGTTGAATCTTATTTTGGTAATGTGTTTCAGCTATGTTTCTTTTCTTGCCATTCCCTTAGTTATATGCTTTATCAGTTGACACTTTTTGTTCGTTAAATATAATGGCTATAGGATGAGATGTTTGAACAGCGTTGTGTTCTGATAAAAACTGGATATGCCTATCTGAAATCTACTCATAGTGGAAGAGTGTTATATGCTTTTGTCCACGTTTATCCTTACAATCTTTGAGTGTCTTACCAAACGTATGTGCTTTATGTGATGCCAAGCCATAGAGGTGGGGTTAGATGGAGAAGGGTTTAGATTCCTTTCCATAGAAAATTACATGATGAAAAAGAATTGTATTTTATCTAATGTTCTAGAGCACAACCCTAGTGGTTTCCAAACTAACCAACATTAACTTTTTCCTTTTCTGTTTTGAACTGCAGAGAATTCCGGGGTGGTGGATCTGGTTCTACTACATCGCCCCTACTGCATGGACTTTAAATGGTATCATCAGCTCTCAGCTTGGTGATGTGGAAACCATGATTGTCGAACCAACATTCCAAGGCACTGTGAAAGAGTATATACACACTGTTTTCGGCATTGATTCTGGGATGATAGGAGCTTCAGTGGCAGCACTAGTTGGCTTTTCGGTCTTATTTTTTGGTGCCTTTGCTTTCTCAGTGAGATTTCTTAACTTCCAGAAAAGATGAGTGATAAATTTAACTATTGCAAAAGCTCTGTGCATATGCACGTGACAGTTGGTCATCATCCAATTTTGAGCCAATACTTCATCAAGATGCAGATATCCTTCCCAACATTCTTTAGTACCGTCTAAACTTTGTCCTCATTGGCATAGCAACTAACTGATCAAACCACTGACTACTACTGATTACAGATTTTGACTGAAAGAATTCTTTAGGACCATTACAACATAGAATGGAAACACAAACCAAATGATCTCTAGTATTGTAACTGTAGCAGTAGCATTTGTTATTGCATATGACCATCTTGATTAAGGTCAAACTCGGGAATCACATACTGAAAATCATTTAAGTACAGAACTCCATTTTCTCTCCCTTAACTCTGTCTAATTCTCACTTGCTATAAGTTCAGACAATAGATGATTGGGGGCCAATGATGCCCTCCCTGTGCAGCATAGACTTGTTTTGATGGTTTAAGTTCCGAAAACAGGAACAAGAGGGAAATTTGTGTGGACAAGAAATTTACATTGTTTAATTTGCAATGCACTTCTGTGATCACAATTTGGGGGTCTTTTCTCTATTGATTTGCTTCCAAATGAAACCAAACAAGCTATGAGGGAGAGATCAAATCGAGAAGAAACAATTAACAGAGAAAAGAGGAGGAAATGTCTAGGGAATGAACTTTTCATCTCTCATGAAATCAATCCAATACAAGATTGAATCCAGTGTCTTGCATCTCATTGTGAAGCCAAGGCGGTCAACTTTACCTCGGCTCCCCAGCAATTTCACAGGAAACCGAAACAAGATGTCCAAGAATTGCCAATTGGCCAAATCTTCCATCTTTGTCTGAATCAGACTTTCCTTGATCACAATTTCTTCCCATGCTTTTTTCTTGTCTCTCATGGCTGTTGTAAACCAGAAATCCTCCCAAAACATGTCTTCAGGCACTGTGACTCCAAATTTCTTTCCAAGAGTTGGCCATATCTGCTTCCAAGTAAAACTCGGACCATTGATTGCGTTGAACGCCTGGCCATCAGTGGAAGGTATTTCATCAGTTGTGGCAGCCCAAATTTGCTGTTCAGCTACTACCCGAGCATCAGAGCTATCCATATAGCTTTCTTCCCAACACTCCCTTGTCCCTCCAAACATAAAAGGGAGGTTTAAATGTTTACAGATAGCACCATAAACACATAAACTTCCTATAAAATTGAACACAGTCCTATGAGAACTACCCATTATCAAGCCAGGCCTATGCACAGACCAAGCCACCTTACCAGCCAGCGTCTCCTGGAGCAAGTCCTCCAGGACATAATAAAAGTTGCAGCTAGCATTTGCCCCCCTCGGCCATTCTTCGTCAAACAAATGAACTGTTTCCCCTTTTACAGGTGCATAATGACTCATCCCAGTTTGAAGAGAAAAATACTTCAATGCCTTTGCTGTTGGGAGCATGGCACTCAAGGCATTGGACATCATGGCCTTGTTCTGCTCACAGCACTCTGGACTATCCAGGGGATACTGACTTGCCCAGGTGATCCAGAACATGTGAGTCACATCCTGTAAAACAGAGAGTTTCTGTTTGGTTTCCAAAGGATCTAACAGGTCACAGGATATGAAATGGTACCTGCCGGAACTTTTGATTGGTATCCTCTCGGGATTTCGAGCTATGCCATAGACCTTCCACTTGGATTTTGAGATTAGCCTTTTGGCTAGCTCTCTTCCAACAAGCCCAGTAACCCCAAAGATAACGGCAACATTGTTACTGGCAGCTTCTGCTTCTCTATTGCATTCCCTGTCTGCCATCAGTTCTAACTCGGATAGCTTGACTCTGTCTAAACTTTGAACCATCTTTATAGAAAGAAATACACCTATCCAAGATGCTGTATCTTACAATTAGCTTCTAACAGTCTTTCTAATCAGTCAAATAAACACCTGCTTAGGCTGGCAGCATAGATGTAATGCAATACAAACTCTTGAGTTAAATCCCATTAAAGGACTTGATCACTTTTTCTAATTAATTAGATTCTCGATGAATAAAAAAAGGAGGGGGAAATGCTGCTTCAAGAAAACAGGAAGTCATCTTCTTTTGAGGGAGGATTTCTTGGAAGGTTTCAGGCTTGCATGTCAAGTTAATATATTGGATTATAATATGCCACTAGCAGTTATCAGGATCAGAAAACTCCAAATCTATTGTCTTCTCTTTTAAGTTAAAAAGCATGCTTTATTATTGAGGTTTAACTAAGCCCTTTTTTTAGTGATCGGCATGTTCTTGGGGCGTCAAAGCCTACTATGGGCTTGTCTGCTGGCAAGATTGTGACCATGGCCGATTCTATGCTGGCATCTTGGTAACAACTGAGTTTAAAAATAACTTTTCTTGTGGCTTTAATCATATCCGAGTTTGCTCGTCAATGGTCAAAGCAGCTATTCAGGACCACACCTCCTTCATAAGCACAGTTCAATATGGGCAAATTAAAGAACCTAATTTCCTTTTTCTTTTCACTAAAATTTCCATTCTTTTCTGCTCCATAAGAATTGGAGGGTAATTGGATTCTTATGTCTCTCCACATCTCAGTAATCAAATGTTAGGATCCGTTTGGTGCATGTAATCAAATATGAGGATGACTGCCTTACAATTGAATAGTGTTAACTTGATGATAAAGAAATAAGATAATGTAGCACATGTGTTGGCATTACTAAATCATCAAGGACATGGTAATTAATTCTTGATCATGTATTCAATAATTAAAATATGAGATTTCAATTGAAATATTTTATATTCGTATTTTGAAAACAGAAAAAAAATAAAAAAAAATATTATCTCTTATCGTATAGATTGAGATCTAATTTTCATATATGAGATTAGAGAGAGAGATTATGACTTAACCAATTTAGCAGCTAGCCATCTGCAACTATGCTGGTGGTACAACTATAAGTTGACTGTGGTGCTAGATACTCCTATGAACTGAATTAGGTTAAAGATTGAAAAACCATCTTATTCAGATGTTTCAGCAAAAGCCTACAACAGGCTGGAATGATGGATCCATGTAAGTGTATATATGTTTCTCCAAGTTGAGGGTTCTCTCCAGCTTTGACTGGGGAGAATGATGAGCTGCATCATCATTGCAGTTGGAGATGGCATAAAAGAAATGATCATGGAGGTGAATGAGAGTCACGTGTTTGGGGAGAGACGACCATGCCAAATTGCCAATACTTTCTTTTAATCAAAGTGTTGTTTACAAGTTTAAACATGTAGAAGCAAGTAGAAGGAAAGGATGCATGAATCAGGATGTGAGCAAAGCCTCCATCTGTAAAAGGCAACATGGGGGACTACATTATTCAATTTGGGATATGACATCAAATTGCTTAAATGAATGTACAAGCAAAATAATAAAATAATTCATTCTGTCCTTTCGAATTGAGCAAATAGAGGTGTTTGATCAATAAATAAATAAATGAATAAGTCAGTTAGGTAAAGAAGACAAGGCCATACATGCACCGAATCTCACAAAATACCATGGGAACTTTGGAATTGGTACAGTCAGTTTGTCTTTCTCAAAGTTTGTTTCTCCTTTCGGGGCAGAAAAGAGGAAAAAGAACATGAGAAAAAGGGTTTGGTTTTCTCCATATCACCCTCAACCTTGGTCTAGAACAAGAGAAACAACAGCTTTATTTCTCGTGCCTGGTGGGCCTTAAAACCTAATAGTCATAGCCTTTTTGCATGGGAATTTCCTTTTCTCTTTCCCTTATTTTCTTAGGGTAAATTCAAAGTTTTTAATCGAGCAAAAATAAAAAAGAAACTCAAAGTTTTAATTAATAAATAAACTCTGATCTGGAAGGTTTTCCTTATTGATTGATTTATGATTTATTACATCACCACAGGTAAAATGGCATTTATCTCATGGCATAAATCAAGTACATATGTAAATGAAGAGCCAAGAGAGATTAAAAATTTAAAATCAGAGAGAAAAACCTTATTATGGAAATCACAGGAACAGAGTTTATCTACAAACATTCTCAAATGAGAAGTGGGTTTCTTCTCACATATTTAACTTGAAAATGGCCTCAAACATTTCATGGCTGCTGCAACACTCTTTCTCAGTGCTCAAATCTCCACCAAGGTCCTCTTTCTAACAAAATGGAAATGAAAATATTTGTCATGGGGTTGGGAAAATGGATGACTGCAATGTCCTTGACTTGGGGGTCCGTTAGAGAGCCCCCCGCCGGAAAAGGCGATGCTGGCTAGGCTGAGAATCCAGATGATGGTTTGAGTCCCACGTTGACATTAGTTTGATCTAATTAACAAAGCAAAATTTGCAAGGAATCAGTGTTGACTGATGAGAAAATAGGGAGACCAAAGCTGGTGTACTTACCCAACGGGGCTGGAATTTTATGAACAAAAAAGCATGCGGCAATGGCTGTGTAACAAAGGCAAAGAACTATTCCTTTCATGTAATGTGAAGTTCCATCCTGAAAATAAGAAAATGGGTTTACATATATACAGAAATCAAGACTGTAATTTTAACATGTCATAGAAAAGGAAAGAGGGAATAAGATTGTAGAACCTGTAAAGTGAAGGCTACGACAATTATTGTTAAGGCTAGACAACCAGTTTCAAGCAGACTGAAATCAAGATCCATTTGGATTCTCATTACCCAGCCAACTACGACACATAAGGGAACCTGAAATGTGTAGATGATTAGTCAGAATTCCATGAGAGATAAAAGTGTTTTTAAAAACCTGCTTTTGGGCTTCTTAAATCTTACTGCAAACATAGAAATTTGAGTTGCAGAACCCAAAGCAACACCCAGAGATATGTCCTGTACAGTTCCAAAGAGTTTAACACAGTTCAGTAAATTAATTAATCCACGTTCAGTTAGATATATAAATGAGAGGAAATGAATAAAACTTATTTCGTTTGCATACCAACTTGTTCTTAAAAGCGAATATGATTGCTCCAGCGTGTTCAGCAGCATTCCCCACAATGGGTATCAAAATTATGCTGATAAAGCTAATGGAAATGCCCCAAGATTCTGATGCAGCCTGATTAAGACAGGATGTACGTTATACAATATTCGAATCAATGTAAAACCATATAAATGCAACTGTAATATAAAAAATAAAAATAATTTAGGCTGCTTACCTCAATTGTGCCCACAACGTACTCAGATAGCAAAGCGATGATGAGTGTCATACCAACCAACCAGCTAAATGCACTCCAAAATCCTATCACTGCCTTTTCTTCATCTTCGTCTTCCTGCTCATTCATCAATTTGAGTTAGTCTCTGGAGGCTTATATTTTCAGGATCTGATCATTTTCTATCACGTTCCTTGTGCCCAATCAATTAGCAATCAGATAATTTCTTCCCAAGCCTGCTTGAAGTTTTATTAAGGGGTTCATTATCTACTTTAATCAATGGATCTAAGTTAATCCAAAATCAATTGGAAGTTGGGTTTTTTAACTTTGTAATGAATTTCAACTTCCAACTTTTTTATGAAAAGGAAAGTGAATTTCCTTTTTTGGGTTTCCAGATGGTTGTACTTGTCATCAGTTGCTATTCTTTTCCTCTTTTCCAAAATTTCCTGTACTTTACAATTTATTCGTTTGCGAGTTTCATGCATGCAAAGACAAAAAGGGAACGTTACTGAAAAGAAAAGCTTCATTTAATAATTTTCCATTTTTAAGCTTCGTTTCTTAGAAATAATATATAATCACCTCTTGAGACTCGAAAATCTGCCTATGAGTTTTAAGCTGGAAGAAGATATAGCCAATATAAGCGACAAGCATGACGATGCTACTCGCTCTCGACAGCTGAAGAGTAGAGTCAGCAATGAAAATGCCTGGCGCTGCCGCGTATCTAAACATCAACGGCAACATGTGGCAAAGCAATCCCAGTAACAGCAGCAGAGAGTTCACATCAGCCTGCTTCTGTTAATTCATTAAAAACAAATAAATCATCAGAGTATATAAATTATATATATATATATATATATATGCCAAACTTCTCTATTTCTTCTTTTTTTTTTTTTTGTAAAGTTAATATCTGTATGATGAGATCTTACTCTATCATATCTTTGCTCCTTTTTCAGGTTGGCTAGGCCTCCACAAAGGAGAGAGGTGCCAAGAACAAGGAGGAGGTTTGAGAGAATGGAACCCAAGAGAGAGTACTTGAGAACATGTATTTTGCTTTGGTAGAGAGCAAATAAAGCTATTATCAGCTCTGTTGCATTACCACAAGTTGCATTCAGGAGCCCTCCAACTGCAAAGTAATTCAACCCTCTCTCAGTCTCATTGTTGTCGATTCTCATCAATCTCAAATTCACTATTACAAAAGCTTTGTCTTAATGGATTATTAATTTGAAATGTGAAATACCTGTGGGACCGGTATAGTATGCAATTTGTCTGAATTTTTATACAAAGGAAAAAAAGAAAGACCTTGTCAGAAATCTTGCGCAGGTATTCAAGGAATAATTTATATGGAAAAAGAGAATAATTCTAGCCAACTTACTCAGTGAGGAAGCTGACACGCTCAGCAAGCGGGGTGAGACCAAGCAAACTCAAAGCAAATATCCAAGGCTATTGGCCACGATAATCATAGATAGTTAGTATTCAGAGAAAACCCTCAAGAAAAATAGTTCATCGATTCAAGACATGGTGACTTACTCGTCCAAACTTGTAGAAATCAGCAGCAATGGCTAAAGGGATGGCAGGGAAGAGCACAGCAAGCTTAGTACCAAGAATGACCTCTTGCAAATTGGCTAGGAGCTGTCTAAGCATCTGAAACCGAACTCTTGACACCAGCATTGGATCGGATTTCTTACGCATAAGCAAAGTCGACATGCTTTGGGCTGTCCTTCCATTCCATAATTCCTTGCCCATCAAGGCCTTGGAGTCTCCATTCTCCATGTGAGAAAGCTCCCCTGACCCTGAGTCCATTAGTGCAAGGGTGCAATTACAGCTAGCTTTATTCCCGCACGACCACCAACAACTAGCTTAGCTTAGCTTGTTGCTTTGTCACAATGTATTTTCTCTTACCAAAACTAAGAGAAATAAAGCAAAGTGGAGGAGTTTCTCTGTGTTGTATGTGCAGGTGGTTATATATAAGGGACAAAGCTATAAATTCCGCATTGTTGAAAGACTCGAGGTACCGTTTCATGTGTGCAGCTTCCCGGAATTTTCCCACCCTTTTGTTGTCATTCTTGCCCGACCCTTTTGCCTTCCACGTACAGTTTTTCCATATATGTCAGGTGTCTAGCTGTTATTCAATAGTAATTTGCGCCTCTTGGTAGAAATTAAACTTGGCAGCATCACGAAACAAATATATATGTACTCAATTTATTTTGTCAATGTTTTCTTTTTCTCTTATTAATTACTTTTGTTATGTATTCTTCATAGATGGAAAATTCAACAGGTTTTGCTCCAATGGAAGTATACAGTAATAAAAATTCCACCCTCAATTGAACTAGAATACCCCCACTACTTAGCAAATATTCTAGATCTTACTCTAACTATTTGTTTTGTATTATATATGAAAAATAGTATTACTTCCCTTCGTCTCATTTTTTTAAATTTATATATATATTTATAAAATGTTAAAATTACATTTCTTTTATTTGCGAACACTCAGATATATAATTTTGAAAATAATCACTCCATAGTTTTAATTCTTCTAACATCTAATTTTTTTTTAAAAAATTGCTTTACGTTAATTTTAACTACAAATCATCGATAATATATCTTATAAAAACATTTTAAAATATATAAAAATACGCTAATCAAAACTTTGTTTGCAATTTTCATATAGCATAAAATATGAATAAAATTATCGATGCAAAGAAGGAATGAGACAATAAGGAGGACCTACCGGTTCATTAGTGAATATTGTAATGCTAATTTCTTTTTTTATATATATAATATGATTGATATGATTGTTGGGATATAAGTAAGAACACCGACATTATAGTTCACCAGTCTCTCAAAAATGGCTTGCATTAGATGGGTACCTAGCATATATAATTAATTTTGTCCACACAAATAAAAAAAAAAGGTTGTAAAATGGAAGAGCAAAAGAAGAAAATTGTATGAAGAAGTGATGCATCTAATTGCACACATCTTTATCGTACGAGCAAGGCTTTGTTTGTAATGGTGGGCACGATACTGATGGCATGGCACCAATTATATATGCAAAATCTTAACTAACTTGCTGTTCCTTTATTAAAGATATTCTCCATTTATTACAATCTTATTCCACATATCAAAATAAAATATTGTAACTTGTATCTAAGTCCACTTAAATCTTGAATATTTTTCCTCTTTTTTTTTGGATTAGGGTAAATTTTATAATTATATTATAAATCTATTCTAAATTTGGTTACCATACTTCAATTTCGTGATATTTTGAATAAAAAAAATTTGACATTGGAATGTTTTACTTTATATTTTGTTAATGCAAAAAACAAGTTTTGTCACTATATTTTCAATTTCGTTGACATTTGGTTAATAAATAATAAAATATAACATTTTATGGAATATTTTATTAATGCAAATACAATTTGCCATCAATGTCGTTTTTTTTATGCTAAAAAATAAACAAAATGAAAATTCAATTATAAAATTCAACAAAATTAAAGTATAATGATAAAATTCAACTATACAATGCAATAGTAAATTTGATTTTAATCTCATTTTCTAGATATTGAAGAGTATTGGAGATCTTTCGGGCTCCCACAAATCCCTATCTCAAGGTCATTAAAGGGAGTAAACATTAATTAGACACATATTGCTTTTCTTATGTAATTTCCAATGGATTCTTCCAATAGTAAACTATATAAAATCAAGAGTCATGATCCTAATTTCACTATTTAGACAAGGTGGGCTTACTCAAAGCTACCGGAACATGTAAATTGGGCCCCATGAACAGTTCTTGAAAGTACATCAAAGGGTTAACCGTAAAACACTATAGCTGAGTCAACCTGATGAACGCCCCAGATTGCAAGACTCCTCCTGCTGGTAGAGAACACGAAAACACGTAAAACGGCTTCCTTCCTCCCCAAAAATTTGACGTGGTGTAGCAAGGGCGCAAGTGGGGAACGATCCAGTACTGCCGTGTGGATGATAGCTAAAGGGGTTCGAGCGGCCTGATCCGTACACCCAAAGTGGTCAGAACTTTCCTCGTATTTTCATGGCTTCCTTTGCAAAGAATCAAACGGTTGCCATTTTTACTTCCTTTAGGTTTTGATCAAAAACCGAAATGATAAAAAAAATGACAAAACTTAAAAAGGCAGGTACTGCCATTTTCGATCGGGTCTGATATTCTTAGAAGCAAGAAAGTATGTTGGACGAAATTTCCTCATTTACTCTTTTCTTTGCTAGCAAGGGAATTAAAGAATAGATTTTTGTATATAGTTAGGTCAAGTTACTCAACTTTGAGTTTTTGTGCATGGTTAAGATTATCGATTTGTGATATAAATGTTTCTCGACATTTATGATAAAAGACATTATAGATTATAAAGATTTTATGATTCAAATTTACAAAGATAATTGAATTTGATAATATTTTTTTAATAAAAAATAAAACTTGATAATATTTTTTCAAAGACTTGTCTTTGTAATGAGAAAGTGAGACTTTTTATGTTAATTGTTATAAATAGAAAGTATTTGTGAAAGTTGTTGCATATATGTTTTTTTTATTTTTTTAATTGAGAGAAAAAAAAATTGAATCTTATTATTTAGGTAAAAGAGCATACATTAATTAATAAATTAAATACTTTAATACTTATTTTACCTCGAGGAAAAGAAGATAAACATTGGATTCTTATTGTTTTATTCATGGTTTTCTAGATTGTAGTTTTCATTAGAAAATGGAAAATTGAGAAATGTATTACTAAAGTTTTGGGTAAAGATAGAATAGAAGGAAATTTCCCTTTAGGTTGTATTGGACATGCGACATTCAAATTGCTATCATGGTTCAACAAGTACTAACTTGGATTATTTTGCCTTGTGTGGTTTGTGCTTCTTTAAGGCAATTTCAGTAAGAAGCTAATAAATTATCTAAGGTTTTTTTTTTGTTTAGATTTAATAAAATCATATAAATAAGAAATGTACAAATGGAATATTTCCTTTTCTTAAATGAAAAACAATTTGGACTCACTAAAAAAAAATGCTATTACAAAATTATTTGCATTGCAGGTAGTTTGACTCCAAAATTTATTACTCATGTTGCCATTGTCATCTTTTATGAAAGTGACAACTAACTTGGATGGTAAAAAAATATCCTCTAATAGTTGAACTTCAAATGAATTAGAATCATATCTATCTTTGCTAGGTATTTTCTCTAGGGGTGAATCTTTTTTTTTTAATGTAAATATTGATTTCATTAATAAAGTTCATAATAAAAAAACTATTATAGTAAAAAAAAGGTAGTAGTACAGGCGTCATACAAAAGGATATCAAACTCTCCACCTACGTACACCTTACGTATACGAAATATGAAAACAATTTGTATTTATTGTGTTTGAGATCAAAGTAAATAAGATTTATTTTTTGATGGTTCAACACATCCTAATATGATTCCTAAACTCACAAATTAAAATTATTAAATCATAACTGACCAAACTATCTTCTATGCAACATTCGACCAAGGTCAAAACATTAAGAACTAAAAGGGAAGGTTACAGATTAAGTAAATTCTAGAATTGTTTTAACTCCATGCTTTAGCCAAATTTTAAGGACTAGAACTAATTAAGCAAGAAGATTTATAAAAAAGAAAAAGCAATGGAGGTTATTTGCTAAGCAAAGAAGATGAGATTTCAATTTTACAAAGAAAAAGCAACCTAGTTGCTAGTTCAATCACAACTGTTGCTCCCATAAATTAACATTTTGTGTTGGGTCTTATTATCCAAAACAAACAAATATGTTTGATTACTACTTTCAAAGAGTGAATTTTGTTATTGGGACATATAATAAAAAATAAAAGATCAAAAGTGTAATTTACTTTAAATTTGGACCTTGAAAACGAATATAGTAAAAGAATAAGGACTAGTTGACAAAATTGAAAAATTATGAGGGTAGAAGTTTCAAGAAGAAACCAAAACCAGAGTTAACAAAACCGCGCGAACCAGAACAAGAAAACGAGAGGATCAGTAACAGAACAAACCTCCGAACCCTAAAAAAATGTCGGAGAAATTGGCTCCTGAAGAACGACACAGTTTCGTTCACAACGGTCTTTCTCCATTTCCCTCTCTTCACATTTCTATGCTCTTTTTGTTTCCGTGAATTGGAAAGTCTGAAATTATTTTTATTTTTTACTGTAATTATTTTTTTTAGGTGAAAAGGTATTTGAATGGGATCAAACCCTAGACGAGGTCAATGTTTACATAAATTTACCGCCGAATGTTCACTCCAAGCAGTTTTACTGTAAGATTCAGTCCAAACACGTCGAAGTTGGGATCAAAGGCAACCCTCCTTATCTCAATGTTAGTCTTTTTAATTTTTTTCTGTTTTAATTTATTTATCATTTTGTTGAATTTTGAGGTTATCTTTATCTGGTATATTTCAATAATATTTTGATTTTTTTTTCTTAGCATGATTTGTTCTGCCCCGTGAAGACGGATTCGTCTTTTTGGACACTAGGTATTTTGTTTTTATTTTTTTCCATAAATTATTTTTTAGTTCAAGTTAGGGATTAGGAAAGGAAAATTAGATTTAGAAAATACCTAACAATGATTTAGTGGAGTATTTAGGTTTAATTATATTGTGTCAAGCTGAATTCATGTTTCAGAACGATGGATTATTGTTTAAATTCTTTGTTTTTCGAGTATTGATTGTGAAATTTTAGTTTTTGGAGTTGAGCTAAGCTGGGGTGTCTTAATGTGGCCAGAGGATGACATAATGCACATAACATTGCAAAAGAGGGACAAGGGTCAGACTTGGCCGTCACCTATACTAGGTCAGGGTCAGCTAGACCCCTATGCAACTGACCTTGAGCAGAAGCGCCTCATGCTCCAGAGGTTTCAGGAAGAGGTGAATGATGTGTTTGCCTCTTAACTTACTTTATAAATGTTATGATATGGTTGTTCAATTCAGCTGTAGTGAATGATTCTATTGTTACAATCTCAATGTCATTTAGTATGCTATTTTCTTTAAACTTAATGTGCTCACGGTGCTAGTCACTCTCAAGATCCACCTGCTCCTTAATGATGGTTGTTAAACTTGTTCACACACACCCATGGCTTGAGAAAAGATTTTTTTTTTTTCCTTAGCTGTCTCTGTGTGAATTGTCTTATGTTAAACTATACGTTTTAGGCTTTCTTTCCTGAGTAAGATATTGCTCAGATGTTTTTCATTTAAGCAAGCAATATTACTATATGTAGCTTTATATTCTTTCATTTTACTTTACTTGTCATTTATATTTCTTTCATGTGGATTCTGTAGATTTTTTGTTGTTGTCAAGCAATTGTATGAGGATTACATGTATTAGTTCTCTTGATATATAATGTCACTCTGTAATGCGCCTATATTCTTATTTGTGCCATAGTAACTAGTACTGCTAAGAAATATTGCTGAAGAAACCTTCTTTAGAATTTGATGATGCATTGTGCTTTTTAAAACTTAAATGCTACATTACATAAGCTTGATCCTCATATTTTTCACGTGGGTGAGGTGCTACTCATCTACTATGCAATTATAGGCTTTTCATAATTTACTTTTATGTAGAAGTGCAAAATGTGAAAGTCCTGTTATGTGCTTTCTAAATTGATGAGAAATGATCTCACCAGAGGCATCTATTCTTTTTACTCCCTCATGAAGCTGCCTAGCGAATTTGGTTTGAATCTCTTAGTAGCATTGCACTAACTATGTGGTTCTTCTGCCGTATTTTATTGCATAGCATGCGAGGGAGGTTAACCACCCAGCGAAAATGAAAATAGGCTCTAGATGGGAAAATCAACAGTGATATGAATGAAGTTTGTAACCACTAATTGGTAAAATATTCAATAATCGGACTGTTGAGTAGGTACTACCTTCCTAGGTAGCTATTGGCTAATCTAGTAGATTGGAACATGACATAATATCCTATATACAACAAAGCAAGATCACATGATAAATTTGATCACATAAAAAGGGAAGTTGTTTCCAAGAAGCTGGCTCTTGAATTAGAGGAAGACTATCATCTATAAATTTTTGTTCAATCTGTTCTACATTAGGTTGGGTTCATAGTTGAACATACTTGCATGGGTAGTTGACAGTGGTAGAATTGCTAGTTTCATGCATGTATTATGGAAAGTCCGGACACCTATTTTAGAGTGTGCATTGGTCTTTTCATCACTAGTATATAAATGATACATTTTAGGAGAAACTTTGTCTTATAATTGTCATTTTAGCTCTTCTTTTGTTTCCACCAATGTTTTAAAAACCGGACCATAGGTGAACTGATCCCAGTTTAATCAGTCCAACTGGCTGGTCCGACTAAAAGGGGGGTGTTGTAGTTTAAAATATGATTTTGGTATTTAATAACTATTAGATACAGGAAATACTTAACAAACAATACACTTGGCTCAAGGGTATGGTCATTAATGGTTCAAATCTCACCATTTGCAAAGAATTTTTAGTTTAAATGATGAAATAAATTCTTAAAACCGGTTCAGCCAGATGATTGACTGGTCTGATGTACTCTTGGTTCAAATGATCTTATTGGACTGGACAGGCTACCAGTTCTGGTTGAACTGGTCTGGTCTGGTTTTTTCATCACTAGTTTCCGCTTTAGTTGTCTATCCAAATGCTATTTGACAGTTTATGAAATGCTTGATTCTTATGTAGTTCATTGCTAGCTGGATTAAATTGTCAAATGTTTGACTTGATAATTAGTTAAGACCTTATTTTAACTAGTTGTGTAGTGGTAACTTGCACATTACACTAACAGTGTTATTTTCGTTCTGCAGAATCCAGGCTTCGACTTCTCTCAAGCTCAGTTTACAGGGAACTGTCCTGATCCAAGGACTTTTATGGGTGGTATCCGTTCTGATTGACAGTCTTCATGTACTGGGTTGATGATTTACATTGCCCTGTTATCAAATCCTGACCGCCACTTAGTAAATAGCAATCTAATGTGCTTTCTCCCCTTGGTCGTAAGGCATGACGTAACTTATTAACTCAGCCATCAATTTGTGATGACAGTATTGCTACTATGTGGTTTGTGATCAATATGTTCAAATGCACCATAAGAAATTGGGTTTATCTTTGTAGTTTCATAAAACTCAACGTCGGCTCAAGTTTGCCTTCAGCTTTATAATGAAGGGAGACAAATTCAAGTATTCATAGAGTTGAATTCATGTAACTTGACTCATTAACACCCTTTGGTCCAACCATTAGACATTTCGCTCTCAAAGATGCCCACGCATCGTCTTTGCTGACATTGAATCAGACAATGACTTACGGTGACGTTGGGTTTATCTTAAATTTTCATGGTTGTGGAGTTGATTTGGTATTTGCTAAAAAGCTGCCTGCGTAGAGTTTTGGATGGATTAGCCTTAACAACGTTGTGTGTTTGTTGTCAAATTTAGTTTTTGTACGGAAGGAAAAAGATTGAAGCAATGGCAGAAAAAGGTGAAGGGGTTCATCAAAAGCAGAATCATATTCGAAATTCCAAGCATTCCCACACGTAGAATATAGAAGTCGTCTCCAGATATCGATGAAGCAGAATCATATTCCTTCATATGTTTCTCTTTTACATGATGCTCCTTCGGGATTATATCTGCCTTTAAATCGTGACCGAGTTTCCCGTAGGACTGAACCAATGATGGTCCCTATCTCCTTCCTTTTCCAATATGCTTTGATTAATTTCAACTCTGGCATCTAAAGCTAGCAATGTACTTCTTTAATTAAAGAAAGAAAATAAAGTTTATATTTGATAACATTTTATTCATATATAGTATATAAAATTTATATATATTACATCAAATACAAACTTGAAGATAAAAAGGGAGATTTGAATTAAAGATTCTCTAATTAACAAATTAAGTTATGTATTTAATTGTATTAATTAAAGTAATTCCTTGGTTAACTCCATTAAAGATCATCATTACGTAAATGTGATCCAAACGTGTGTTTGTCGCTAATTATGACTACAGTCAAAAACTTCGCACTACAATTGTATCTTAGCACCGGACTTTAAGATATATGATTTGATTTCATCGCTTTGTGATCCCTGATACTCTTTGTCTTGGTCACGAATTACCAGAGCTTCGATTCCTGCCGTCAATTAATGTCTTTTCTTTTATTTTTAAAAAATGTATGGAAGAAATTATTATATTAATACTTTTAAAAAAATTTAAACTATTGAATAAAATTTAAATAAATATTTTTTATCACTTTAATGTAAATTAAATAAATTATTATTATATTTTAATAATAAAATAATAAATGATATATTAATTATATATTAAGAGTTCATCTAACAAATTATGATATAATATATAATTAAAATAATTTCCTCCTAAGAATAAGTTTTTTGGCTAATCAAAATGCAATGGTAATAAAAATGCATGCGAGTTTAAATCGACTTATTTGCAGTGAAAATAGCATAGAAAAATGAAATTACATATTTCTTTATGGTTAAAGATGTTGAGAATCAGTCCTTTTCTTAGTTTCGTAATTCAAAGCAACACCGACCCTGGATCGTCTACGAAGTAAAGCGAAAAAAATATGACAAATATGCATTTTTGCATTGTTTTTGGCCTTGGCTGCCTATAAGCCACCCCTCCCCCTCGCCCTCCCCCCACACAAATCTCTCTTTGGCGCGCGTCCTTCCAGTCTTGACACCTAGATTTTTGTCTTCATTTCACAGCCTCCATTTCTTCCTCTAGATATCTCTCTTTCCTTCTCCTTTCAATGGAGTCTCTCAATTCTTAAAGCTTCCCATTTCTTTTCCCTCCATGACCCCAAAACACAGCAAGGAATCCGTCCTTTTTTTTTTTCAACTCCTCCACCATGGTAACCACCAACCCACAAAATCAAAACAACCCAGTTCAAAGCGTTCTCATTGTTGGTAACTACTGCCACGATGTCCTCCTCCAAAGAGGCTCCGTCGTTGCCGAAACCCTCGGCGGAGCGGCCTCTTTCATTTCCAACGTCCTCAACGGCCTCTCCGTTTCTTTCCAGTTAACCTCAAAAGTTGGACTCGATTTCAAATACCCAGTTAGTTACGATCCCATCGTGGTCCCCGCTTCCAAAACCACAGTTTTCCACGCCTATTTCGATCTGGGTTTTAGCGAGAATGCCCATCAGGATAGGGTCTTGAAACGGGTCGAAGCATGCCACCCGATTAACCCATCGGATCTACCCGATAAAAGGTTCGATTTTGGAATGGCGGTTGGGGTTGGCGGGGAGATATTACCGGAAACGCTGGCGAAAATGGTTGAAATCTGCGATGCCGTTTTTGTTGACATCCAAGCTTTAATCCGTGCTTTTGACAAAAACGGGACAGTAAGACTTGTGGGGTTAAACGAGAGTGGCTTTTACCATTTGTTACCGCGGCTAAAGTTTTTAAAGGCTTCTTCGGAAGAGGCTCTGTTTGTGGATGTGGAGGAAGTGAGGAAATGGTGTTGTGTGTTGGTAACGCATGGGAAAGATGGATGTGAGGTTTTCTGGAAAGATGGGGAAATTAAAATCGGGCCTTTTGTGGCTAACCAGGTTGATCCCACGGGTGCTGGAGATAGTTTTCTGGGTGGGTTCATTGGTGGTTTGGTTCATGGGTTGGTTGTTCCAGATGCTGCTTTACTGGGGAACTTATTTGGTTCACTTACTGTTGCTCAGATTGGTCTCCCTAAGTTCGACTTGAGATTGTTACAGGTTTGTTCTTGCTTTTTTGTTTTTGGGAAATGTTAGTACTAATTTTGTGGTCATAAAATTGTTCGAGCTGACATTAATGTACTGTTTCATTGATGTTCTTTTGAAATTTTGTTGGATAACGTTGGGAAAATGGCCTTTTTTATTAGAAAAAATGTGAATTTAGGAGGCTTAAATTGAGATGAGTTTGAGTGAACTACTGAGGGAATTCAGTTTGTTAATGATGTCATTTTTTATACTATTGGAATTAGACAGTAAGAATTTGAGCGACTTCACTGGGGATGAATGCGATATTGTTTTTTTTTTTTAAGTAAATGAAACATTTTGAGATGTGCATTGACTGTAAAAACCATGTGTGTAGCACATGCTTAGCAGTATCTTCAAGGGAGTGAATGTAGTGGGTCTCTCTGGAGTAGGCCAGGGGTTAAACGATTACAGTGCCCATTAAAGCTAGACTCAAGTTGGATGTTAGTTGGAAAGGCAGACCGTATAATGCACTGACTCTGCTACTCTTTTATCAAAGATTTGTACTTCGAAGGGAATTACATGTTTCTTGTCTTGGTTATAGTGTTGATAGCTGATCTTTGTCTATCTTATTTGTAGTTCAGTCTTCATACTAACTATGAGAGTGTTATCCTTAGTAAGCTTCATTTTATGGATGAATGCGTGACATTAGTTGTACATCATTGTTCTGTATACTCTTTGTTTTGGTCGTGCTGTATGATAGAAGTGGGATTTGTAAGTTTTAAGTTCTTCCTTGAAGAACTGGATACAGGAACTATTTGAAAACAATCATTGTCAGGAAATTCTAGTTCTTTCCTTCTTTGTTTGTGGATGGATGATAACAGAACTAGATTTTTTGTGTTTCTTTCTCCCCATTGCTTTCTGTGCAGTGAGGGTTAAAATGAGGTGATGGTTTGTTGATTTAAAGATTTTATGAATTGATATTGGTTTCCAAAATGTTTTATGTAAAGTTGTGAGTTACTTTGGTTAGTTGTATGATTCATGAATGATCAAATTACTTTTCTGTCTACCACATCTTCTTGCATAAAGATGTTAGATTGTTGTTATTATCAAGTGCCAGACTCAATTAATGAATTGACATTCATGTCAAGACATTACTCTTGACCAACATGATGCTTCTTCTAGAGAATCTCCATCTTAAAACAAATCGCTTCTCTTTTATTTTTTGTAATTAATTTATTACTTTTTGGGAAATTTTCATGTGTTATTCACAAGCAGTTGGCTTCCTGAGCATAGAGACATTTGTCTTTTTATCTGGATCCAATGATTATTTTGTACTTAGTTTGTTAATTCAAAGAGTATTCTCCTCATACTTGGAAGATCTCATGGAATTCTACCTAATAGGATTTCATTTGGGTTCCATGAGACAGTTTCTCTAGGTGGTACATTTACATAGAGAAGTGAGTGGGTTCTATTGGATATACTTTGTTTGACTGACATAAAAACTGAAAGGCTGGTGGGAAGAGTGAATGCTGTACACTTAAGATTCTGTAAACCTGTTATTTGAAAGAGAAGGAAATGTAAGGGAAAGTCTTTCATCATGCCATCTCAGTTGCTTATTTAACAAGATCTTTATAATTATTTCATCATGACCTGGGAATGCTTCTTTCGTAAGTGGTTTTTTAGTTATTAAATCTCTATTTTTATTTTTCACATTACAGAGAGTTAAGGATGAGGTGCAGAGACGGAAGCTGCACAGCACTTGCTCCTTTGAAACAAGAGATGATAGGTTGAGTTTCAGCAAGCCACCAGGGCATGAAGAGTTCCACGCTTCCCTTGCTTCAACTAAATTAGTTTCCACATGCTCCATTCAAGAATGCCAACAAGATCAGCCAAGATCACCCAGGACAGTCGAGCAGGTTATCTGCCCTCAGTGTAACGGGCAGCCAAAGTTGTTAGTAAATTCTGTTTTTGACGAACCAATTCAAACAGTGCAGGGTAGACCATGAGTGTATAGTTGGAGCATTTTTCCTTTTTTCCGTATCAAATAATGTGGCTTGTGAAGAAATCTCTTTGAGCCTTGTTAGCCATGCAATGAAAGTCTGGAAATCAATGGCAAATTAAATTAGTTGATTACTAGCAATAAAGCTTGCATTGCATGTCATATTTATATGCCTTTTTAATTTTTTTTTTTTCAAATAGTGGTATAGTTTTTTCTTGTATGCTGGCCTTGCGATTGTGGAGTGCTTCCTTGCTAAGCAAAAGTGGTACCATGGAAGTCAAGAAGTGGTTATTGGCCAATTTCTTTATCATTAAAGGAGACTATTTCTGAATCAACAACTTGTTTGGTTCACCAGAAAAGGGTTCATGAAGAGATTATATGCTCCTTTAACTGCAATCCCTTTATGAATCTGGTGATTTTCGCACTGTGGGCCTAATTTTCTGTTTGAAGGAGATTTGCTTAAGCCCTTAACAGATGCATTACCATTTCCCAAACAAATGGATTGGTGATTGGTCCAATCTTGGAGGTTCCTTTCTAGGCCATTTGTTGTCTTTTTGGACAAAGACCCTTGAAACAATTCAGACCACTGTAATCTTTTTGGAGATGTGCAACTGTACAAATCAACATCGAGCGTGTGAAAAAGCAATAGCAATTAAGGATGTTGATTCAATTGCCATTGGCTCTTAGTCAACCCAGGAAAAAAGATGCCTTCCACGAAGTGCTTCTTTACACCTGATTGATTGAATGATGGAACAAAGGTGGTGGACGTCATCGCAGTGTCTGAGTCTCACTAGCCTGTCCAATGGCATCACCGTTGCTGACCAACCCTTTGCTTCTTGAGGGGCCAAGCCTAGTCATGATTGGATCATGGAACATTGATTCCTCAAACTTTGATTTACTATTGTTGTGGAATTAATTGCCCCCATTTTCCTTGCAACTAGCTTCCCAACTTGGTGAATTAACCGAACCCACCGCTCTATTTGATGACCTGATTTATTTAAGATATTTATCTAAGTATAGGTACATTCCATAATCCTCTGTTTTGAACAACAGAAAGAAACAAAACAAAATTAAAAAAAAAAAGGAATTCAGATAATCAAAATTTAACCTCCTAATTTTACGGAGGATATTCCTAATCGAAGCATGCCACACTGGATTCTACGAAATTAATCAACCAATCACATTTAAGTATCAAATGGTAACTTTTAATCCTAAGCAGAAAAGGAAACCAACTGGTGAAATCTGATTCTTCCTATAAAAGCGCGTGGGGTCAGAGAATCCAAACTCTTTGTATCCCATACCCCACCCCGCGGAGAATCTCAATAATGCCATCCCCACCAAAAGCAGGACGAGTTAAAAAATCTCCCTCCCAACTGTCAACAACCCCTTGCAAAGTTCACCGGCTGTTTATTTTCAGTAAACCTCTCTTCCGCCCCTGAACCCAGCTTTTCTTTTCAATTTGACGCCCTTTTCTGCCTTCCTCCGTGCTCCTCTTCTTTCGTAATTAGGGTTTCGGGATTTTAAACGAGAATGAAGCACACAGCGACGAAGAAGAAGAAGAAGCGGCCACGCCCGACGAAACGGCCGGCTGTCAACGATTCGTCACGTGACACGCATCGTCAGCAGGATCAGCAGCTAAAAGTAGAAGACAAGGAAGAAAAAGAAAAGCTTCTCTGCTCGTTAATGGAAGCCTTTGGCTCGATCTCTCTTGAAGAAGCCGCTACAGCTTATAACCAAGCTAACGGGGATTTGGATAAAGCGGCGGTGACTCCATCCAATTTTATCGATGAAGATAACAGCAGTGAAGATCCGGAACGGTCCACGAGCTCGATCTCGAGCGGGTCATCGTCGTCGGGTTCATCCGGTTCGGGTTTTGCTGAAACGGGTTGCATACAAAATATGAATGGTGGTAGGGGATGCTGCAGAGTGGGAAAGCAGCAGAAACGAGTGGTGGCAGCAACGGGGACGGTTTCGACGGTTCTCGGGAAAGAGTACGTTAGGGCAAGCCCGCGGCGCGACTCGGCGCCAACGGCGGCGGGGAGATCGGCGTTGGTGAAGGAAGAGGCGGAGCAATTCTTATGCTCAATGCTTGGGGACGAGTGTGAACTTGGCATGGCTGTTGTTAGAGATGTTTTATGTGAGATTTTTTTATTTCTTTTTTGTTTTTGTCATTTTGTTCGTATAAAGAAGTTCTGGGAATAATTACTTTTAATGTTTTGCATGTTGAATGACCAAAAACTTTTGTCTTCGCAGGTCAGTGTGGATACAATGTGGAAAAGGTACTGTGAGTCCTAAAATCTGACCTCTTTGATGATTTTGATGTTAAAAGACTTCTTAAACTGTAAAGCAATTTGATGTCATTGAGGAAATAAGGGGAAAAAGCATAAAATTTGCTTGTGCAATGCTCCCTTTAGCGTATACCGGGTACTTTATAGATGGTTCCTTTTGCTAGTGTTATTAATTTTGTTAAATGTTGATAAAAAAATAATTTCTATCCATACAGCCTTGCATTAAAAGATCAGGGTTCTATGCGGTTAAATTGATTATCTCCTTTGGAGAAGGGCAAATTTGGAAATTGGATTGCTTTATTTAAATAGGGGTTGGACTGTGTTGACTTTAGATCTTTAATTCTCTGTCTCTGGATGATGAGTTCATAAGTTCAATCTTGCTTAACAAAATGGCAACGAGTTTAAGGGCTAAGCTATTGAAATATGGATTTACTACTTTAGTTTGAGGGTGTGCATACTTTTCCTATGTTATATTTTTCGAAGAATGTCATTAAAATTCAGTGTATTCTTTCTTTCCAGGCTTTGGATGCATTACTTGATTTGTCTGCTTCCTCCTATGAACAATTCAAGAATTGTAAGGACAATGTGAACAATAGACAAGATACAGGATTCCTCACCGACTGTGCGGACAGTGTAAGTAATATGAATTTTGTTTCTTAAATGTTCCAAATTTCCTGGGTCAGTTCCCTCCTCCTGTTTTATATGTAATTTATTTTTAGTTAACACTTTGTTGTTGGAATAATTTAGACATTAAATTGGTAATATTTTTTCTCTGTCCCACAAGAGCAGTTCTAGGTTTTGATGGAATTAAGGTGTTAGGTTGAGAGTATCTGGTTTCAGTGCTATTAGAATGCTTACTCTCTTCTTAAGAGGGACAGTGGAGACATAGAGAGAAACTACTCTCCGTTTTTAGTTTGGTTAAAATCGTCCTTTAGTGTTCTATCTGGTGGTTGTTTCTTATACTAAGCTTGAGGTTTTGACTTTCAGAGGAGAGATCAGTGGGGGATTTGAAGTCAAGGTCCATCTTTGTATTGCAAACTAAATTTAACTGAAGGGAACATTCATTTTGTATGTATATAAAGTTACTTAGTCAGCAATGGGGTGAAAACTGAGAAAATGCTCCCATTTTTCTGGAAACTGACAGAGCACTAGAACATGCATGCGGTTATAGTTTTGTAGCATTTTTTGTTTTTAAAGTTCTTTATATTTTGTATTACTTCTTCTGTTGCCCAAATGATTTCAAATCTCTCTCTCTCTCTCTTTCAAGCTTTTCACATTGCAACCTATTCCATATGGAATGATATATAAAACTTTTTAACAGGTAACAGATAGGGCATCTGATTGCATGTCTAATTCATCAGAAAGTGAACTTCAGGATAGTATATGGTCAGTGGGCTATGGTTGCAGGTAATTCATTCTGTCTGTCATTGTCCTTGATTTTTTTACTTGGTTATTCTTTTAAGTGATGTTTCGGAGTCTTTTTCTCACATTTAAGTTATGCTGTAATAGCATAAGAGACTTAAACATTGTAGATGACCAAATGGTGTCAGGACATATCATGCATAAATCTTGAAGAATAAGATCATTTACACTTGATATAATTCTTGTGGGAGAGGGATCAATTAATTGCCTGTTAGACTTAGAAGAAACTACAGAGAAAACAAGGCAACAATTTTTTTCAATCACTGGATTAAAAAAAGCTCTTCAGTCCTTTACCAGAATGGTGTAAAAGTAGTATTTGCCACCTCTGGTGGATTTTTACTTGCATTGTATGTAAACTATATGGTCCACACTGACAATACAGTCATAAAGAATTACTTTTGCTTGATATAACTATGCTCATCTACAACATGCATGATGCACTTTCATGTTTGAATATTAGGATCTCTCATATTAGTGCTGATGTCTTTGTGTCCTTCGGAATTCTTGATTTAGACAACTTGTATGTTGCCTTGGCTGTGGCAATATTGTAGAAAGGTTTTGTATTGCCTTTAAATTTAATTGCTCCTACTTTAAGGATCTTAAGCATCGAAAACCAGGTCTTGAAGTTGTAGCCCTCTTTTCAATTTTAGGAATTACTCAAAGGTTCTTGCTGGTTCTGAAGCTCTGCTACAAACTTGCCCAAGGAGTAATGTGTCAGATCTCCCTCATGAGGTGTTGGGTTCTTTATTTAACATCCCCAAAAGTTCCGAACAGGAACCAAGCACTATGAATTGGAGGAATGTAGTAAAGAAGATGCAGTCATTGGGACCAGGGATTGATGTTAGTCCATCTAGTGTTGCAGAGCCTCAGCAGGATATCTATGGTATTCTTATGTTAATTTTCTCATGCTTTTTTTGCTATTATATGAATGAGTTTGTTGCTGAACGTGACCTTTACTTTTGAAGTGGGATTATTAATATCAATATGAATAGTCGTGCTTTGAAGTTGTCCTACCACTACATTGCAATTGAACATCTCTATTAGAAGTGCAATTGACAAAGACCTAAAATATTAACTACCTTTTCATTATTACTTACATGTATGTTAGGCACTGCATATGTATTGACACATTTATTCTTGTCTTGTCCTGAATCCTAAGATTTAGACAAGATAGTAGTAAGTATGAGTTAAAATCCTTATGTAATGGGCCATAATTTGAATGCTCTCAAAGCTACTTGAATAATTAGTTTGCTTGCACCTATCTGTGCATGTATATCAACAACCA